GAAAAGCAGCATTTTGAACTTCAGCACTGATTTCAGGCTTCTTAAAGTTTGGGAAATGGTTTTATATATATGGAAAAACCAAGTCTTTGGTGGTCAAAGACTCAAAATAGCATCAGTAGTCACTCAATAATTAATATTTCTTAATATCATTCTGATTTGTTGAACTATAGCTAGAACTATGAACGCTGTTCCCTGTCAATAACATGCTATGATGAAAACTATGTTCCGGATAAAAGCATAATCCTTAGATATTTTTCCCATCTTTACAGGCTTTCAAAGTTTCACCTCATGCCAGTCAAGACTCTTCTCAAATACTTCCTGAAGATCAGTCCCTTCTCAGCTTGCAAAACTTACAGATGAGAGTCAAAGCTGTTGGAAAAATGATGCAAGAAACGAATAAACCCGCTGTCTGGAGAAGATCAAACTCCGATATCATACAAGAATTCTCATTCATCGAGATCGATCATCAGTTAAAACCCCGCAAGAAAAAGGTGTCAACAAACGAGTCCAGCGACTCTCCAAAATCGCATAGACCAAAATTCAAAAGCTCTGAAACCCGAAATGCGGCTCTCATGAAAGATATTCCTCTCGATCAAGTCTCTAATAACAGCTCATGGCGCGGAACTCGGAATAAAAACAGCAAAGCCAGCTCAGATGATTTAATGCTCGAGCTGTGGGAAACTACCGAAGATGGGAATAAGTTTGCGAATGATAATACAGCACGCAATCCATATGAAAATGAGGAGGGAAAATCTTTGTTGTTGCCTTTGACAGACTCGGATGTGGAGAAAGAGTTAGCCGTGGATAGATTGAAGCTGTCATCCACAAGAAAACTCGAGCCTGACAATGATGCGAAAATCCTCGAGAAACTCGCATCGGATGCCCAAAAGCTCGAAATCCTCTGGACAACATTAGAAAGCTTGAGAAGGAAGCTAGAGACGAACAAAAAGAGCCGAAAGGTTAAAAAATCCGATTTTCAGGCTGTGAGAGAACAGTTGGAAGATGCTGAGGACAGTGTTGTCCATTTAGTGGATTTGAACGGTCAACTCGTGAAAAACATCGAGTATTGTCCGAGAGATGAAATGAACGAGGCTCTGAGAATGTGGAAAATGAAAGTAGCTGAGCAGGCTCAGAAGGGTTCGGAGAAGATCGAAGATTTGCAGTTGGGGCTTCAGAAAATTCAGCACGTGCTTTTGCGAATGGAGGAAGAGAAGAAGAAGAATAATAAGGGGAAAGTTAAGTTCCTTAGGAGCAAAAGTATAATTTCGAGGGACTTTGTTGATAATGGAAAGACAAACAGCGGGAGGAGTAAGAAGGGTCCTCGTTGTGGGTGTTTTAAGCAGTCGACTAGTAGAAATATTGCCGAAGGTTCTTAGAGGTATTATTAAAATGCATGCTTTGAATAAAATTAGCATTTTGGTTAAAAAAACTTATGTTCTAAAACTTGAGTCATCTGTTTGGTTGGTAGGATTATCTATTTCTTGAATTAGTTTGGATGAACCTTAATGTTCTGAAACTTGTGTTTAAAAACTTATGTTGTTAGACTAATCTATGGAATGTAAGGATTGATTAGATTTTCCATTGATTTTTGAACTATCTACTTCTGTTGTGTTAAGTTTTTGCAGCATTGTGTCTTTGTATTCCTATTATGTTGGTGATTATTCATATGCATGCAAATTTCACACATTTTTTTTTTCTGCTTTTAGCATATGATGAATGTTGCAGAAATTTTATGTCAACCATTATTATTTTGATTCAAAATAATAATTGTTTTTTTTTAATTATATTGATTCATTTTTTTTCTGAATTGATGAATCAATTGATAAAATGTTTCGTTATTGAATCTACGTTATGTCTCAAATTTATACAGGTTTAAAGAATAAAAATATTATTTCAATTTATATTAAAATTTGGTTCATCTCAAATTTATACACGTATAAAGAATAAAATAAGATTTTATTTATATTAAAATATCATTGTGATTTATTTATATATATATATATATATATATATATATTTCTTTTTCTTCCCTCCCACTTTCAATCCTTTAAAATGAATATCCATCCACATTGGTGTTAAATGGTGATATTGTCCATCTAAATGGCAACTGACTGCATCAATACAGGTGCCCTCATAAATTGTTTGTCTCCACTTTCAACTATTACAACTTACAATCATCAACAAGGGAATATTCAGTGTGTTTATTTATTGGGGGGTCAATGAAGACTTTTTAACATAGGCAAACCAAGTCGAGCATTGGACTTATACTCAATATTTTTCAATGTTGCTCGAGCTAAATCTTTTAAAGCTCGACTCTACTTGACGAAAATAAACATGTGCTAGAAACAACTTAAATTCAAAGTGCTCGAGCTCAACTCGTGTTCGGTCAAATGCAGATTTATTGGTTGAATGAGTGTTTTGATACGTTTGAATAGAGATTATCACAAATAATCTTTACTATTCATTCTTTATCCAAAACCTGATGGCATCTTAAGACGTATTTAATAACAGCCAAGGCAAATTCCAAATCAAGAGTGAAAAACATAAAATTATTCATAATGGTCACAAAATTCAGGGTACAATATAACAAAAAACTTAAAACAGAAACAAACAACTCCTTAGCAAATCTCTTGAGAGGAGTCTCATCCTAAATCTCTCAAAGAAAACCGAGTACATGCAACTGAAAAGGACATAACTGAAATCGAATATGTATCCAAATCTAGGCACCAACAACTTCAGTCGCCTCAATCATTGGCTCCTCAGCTGGCCTTTCCAGCTTCACTCCAATTTCTTCATGATCTCCATGAACCTACAAGTTGCAGCCACAATCGAAATTAAAATCAAGCAATCAAAATTTCCAAGATCAACAGCGGAAATAAATCGTCAAAAATAAGAATACTAGCTACCATCAAGTATGAAAGCAAAGGGAGAGTCTACTTTGAAACACAACTAGTCAGATATTAAGAGTGACCATAATAAACAATAAAAGGTGTTCGGTAGATTCCCAACCAAACAAGCATTCTTAAGATTGAGCTTATAAATTAATAAATATTTCAAATTTGCCTAGCAAAACAAACTTTTGAATGAATTTCAACTACCAATTTTGTTAACAGGAAAAGCTAGGCCACACCAAACTGCTGCTTGGAGAACAAAATAACAATTATTGAAAAAAAAACATGCAATCACTCGACATATCACATATAATTGTAAATAAGAAATATAATTTTAAAGAAAAGCAGAAACTTGCCTCCATAAGCCTGCTGAGGTCAAATTTGGGAGCTTTCAAGATCTTGACCTTCCTGATATACACATTCTGAAGAGGGTAGATGCTTTGGGTCGCCTTCTCGATCTCTTTGCCAATAGACTCGGGAATGAACTTCTGAACCAAATCCTTGAGATCACAAGACTGTGCTTGGTTCACCATGATCTCCCTCATCTTCCTACGAATCTATCAAAAATAGAACAGCAAATAGGAATAAATGCTTAAACCAACAAATAATTGGTGTTTCTCTTCTCAAGAATCACAATATTTACCTGACGAATCTGGCTCGACTGTGCATAGCATGTCCTCTTCTGCTGGTTCACACGCTTCTTAGTGAAGGCAATGCAGAACAACCTCAGAGTATAGTTGTCAGTAGTCTTGACATCAACATGAGCCTCAATTAGTGACTGCCATTTCCTCACGAGAGATCTCAGTTTGTCAGTGGTGAAATCCATGCCCTACAAGTAAACAAAAGAAGCCAATCATATCAACAATATCAAACGAAATAAATATAGGGAAAAATAGATTCTTATTCATTCCACATACCCAGAAGTTTGTGAGAACATTCTTTCCCTGAACATCTTCAGCTCTCAAACGGATCTTCCTGAAGGAGTGGTCCTCATCACCTTGAAGGTCAGCCAAGGACACCTCAAACACACGGTGCTTGAGACCTTCAGAAGCAATCTAAACAAACAACTGTTAGGTATAATGGATACAAAGAAGTCTAATGACATGCGCTCAATCAATAATCATTATATCACATCTCAGAAATGCACAGACCAACCAAATGTACAGAAATCTAACTGTATCTCAAGATCCTGTTCAGGCGATTGTTTGTACTATTTTATCTTTCAAAATAACCTGACGGATAGGAACTTGGTTAAATGTGGCATAAAAATCTAGTAAAACAAACTTTTTTGGGACACATGAGTTTTCTAGATAGGACACCAAATAATCAAAGGTAGACTGTAACGGATACAAGCTTCATATTACACCTAAGAAATCAGTTTGACAGTTTGGTACACAAAAGGATCGAAACGGGTACAAGGATAAGCAAGAAAACCTGCAAAATTCCCACCAAGTAAAAGATTTCCATTTAAACTCAACCATTCCCCCAATCAAGATCCAAAAAGGGCAATACTAATCCAGAGATTCCAAGAACTATATCCCGTCAATAACTCTTACCATATAATTTAGCATTGACTTCACTGAAAATACTAAACAAAATTCAAGCTCAATTGGGATCATAACATTTTACAGAACACTACCTTTGTACCCTGAGTACGAGTAACTAGAGTTTTGCCTATGTTTCTGGTACTGAACACCTTCGGCGCCTTGATATCATACCAGTCCTTCTTAGCAAAGGGATCAGCTCTGTAATAACCAGCAATATAATGATTTCAAATTTACCAAACAATGGCGAATAAAAATCGCATCACCACATCCAACATGAAAAGATAACATATATTCGATCAAACAGTACAAGACTCACGCTTTCTTCTTGCCTCCCTTCTTCCCCTTCGAAATCCGCTTGTTTTTTCTGCAGAAATTCGACAAAAAAAAGGTATAATTTGTAAATCTAGAGATTCATCAATGGAAAAATTTTAAAGAATCATGAGATATTAGCATTAGTACCCGACAGCCATGGCTGCGCTGCTGAGCTTGTGGAGGGACTAGAGAAGAAGCTCTTCACTTGGTTTACACAAAATGCGCTCAGCCAAAACCCTAGCTTTCAAGATATATATACTGTTTGTACCTTTAAGAAAGGGCTTTTCGTGCTAACATTGGGCTTGTAGCAGTTCAGCTTCCTGCTTTTTGCAGTGGGCTTCATCCTTTTTAATTGGGCTGGTTGGCGTTAACTAGTTGGGCTTTTACTCCACTTAGTAAGTAATTGGATGGGAAATTTTCACTTGTACATGCAAATTTTTAAGTAATTTCGAAATTACCATCCAAAAAAAAATATTTGTTTATATACCTAAAATATAAAAAGTATTTATAAGCATACCTAAAAAACCGTTTCGTGGATTGTGAACAGTTAACTGAACAACTTCCATAATTTTAGGGGCACAATATCAATTTTTCAAATATAGAAAAGATATTATATTTGAATGTTAACTATAATATATTGATCATAGGTGTTTTTTATTTTGAAAAAATATATTATTTACGTACCCATATTTTTGCAATATTTTCTGAGATATATGTGCGGTATATTTTTGGTATTTGTTCATAGAAATAAATTATGTAGTTTTTAATATTTTTGGTTTATGTTCAGCAATTTAGTTTATGTGTGCAAGTATATTTTTTGTTTATGTTCACTATATTTTATCTTTATGTTCAGTTTATTTGGGGTTTATGTTCAACAATATACTGTTTGGTTTAAGATAAAAAAGGACAACAAAAAGGTATCGCATATACCAGACGTACCATAAAAATAAAACAACAAAAAGGTATCACATATATCAAACATATACTGTACATATACTCCAATTCAATGTCTACTAACATAAAAAAAAAAAGACAACAAAAGGTATTGCATATACCAAACATATACTGTACATATACTCTCACCCAATGTATACGAATTTCAACGTAATGACTAATCTACACACAATCCAAAACCCAAAAGAAAAAATCAAAGCAAAATTCAAATTCCCTACAACCAACCAATCATCTTTTCCCGATTGTGGTGACGTCGAAACCCTCTTTAGAGGACGCCGTCGTCGGCGGCAATTTGAGAAAATCATGCTTCGGAATGTATTCATCTTCTCTCTCGTCGACTCCATATAAAATTTGTGGATAACAATTATGAAAAATAAAATAACAGATCAAAAAAATATAATCATAATTTCATAAGCAGGAGGGAGGAAGAGAGATACCTGTAAACAAAAGGAATCTGATCTGGAGAGAAAATCCAACTAAAAATAATAGAATCACCAGCCAAAAATGGGTAGGCGTTGATAGGGCTGGCTTGGGAGGGGGGTTTGGCGGAGATAAAGCAAAATCTGGAGAAGAGAGAGAGGGGAGGGGGGGGGAGACGTGGTAAATACCAGGTAAATAGGAGATCAGTTTTTGTAGGTATATATGCAAATAAATTTAACAAATTTAGTTAAT